AACTCCAGCAACCTGAGGCTGACAGCTTTGTGGAAGCAGCCACTTAAAGACCTGAGCTAGGGCCAGGCCCCCGAGAAGTTCTTAAGGTTAGGACATAGATTGCCAAATTCCTTTCCTGAAAGTTGGTACCGTTATGCTTCCTTCAGCAGCTTTGAATAGCTGGTGTCCAATGCTGTAAGGAACTCTGTGGGACTTGATTAGAAAGTGTCCTTTGGGGAAGAGTTTTGAGTTTTGAGCAAAGTGTTCTGTGTTTAGGCAAGGCTTTAGAATAATTCTGGCTGCAGGATGGAGGCTGGGCTGCAGGGGGCAGGTGGGGGCTGATACTATAGTGCATAGTCACCCAAGGCTGAGCTGGAGGAGGCTTTGGTTTCCTATTGGAAGGGGACAGTCAGTGAAGGGGATTGGGCTGGCAGGTTATAGCGATCTTTTTTTTTTTTTTTTTTTGCGGAACCGGGGATTGAACTCAGGCCTTTGCGCTTGCCAGGGAAGCGCTTATTCCACTGAGCCATCTCCCCGGCCCAAGTTATAGCGATCTTGAGGTGGGTTGTGCTGCCTGAGAAAGACAAGCTGAGTATGATGATGCATGCTTATAATCCAGAGTTGAGGCAGGAAGATTATAAGCTTGAGGCTCGCATAAGCCGTAGTATGAATCCAAGGCCTGCTGGCCTGCCTAGACTACATATTGAGACTCTGTTTCAAAAACAAATCAACAAGTGGAAGAAAGTTGGCACAAGGCATGTGATAAGCTTGGTGGGACTGTCTGAGTTTAAAGGGCCTCCCTGAGGATGTGTCTATTGGTGCCTCCTAGAGCCTCTGGCTAGGCCGGGGCTGGGTTTGGGACAGTGTTTGTTTGTTTTTGGTGGTGATGGGAGTGGAACCGAGGGCCTTGTGCTTACAAGCACCCTAACCCCGAGCAACACCTCAGCCCTAGCCTGTCATGGCGGCGAAACAGTGGTTGTGTGCCTATATAAGAGCCCTTGCTCGGGGCTTTGGCTTCTTAAGTCTTACCTTTTTATCTCCTTTAGCCCTGAGTTTCTTCATTCACAAAGTGGTGGAAGAAAAGCTGAGCAGGGAAGGGAGAGGACTGTGAGGAAGGACCTCCAGAGCAGGCTTGGGTGGCAGCTCCAGGGAGGGCAGTGGCAGGCTGAGGTTTAGGGCTTTGCAGATCTCTGAAGAAGGTGCCAGCTGATCAAGCTCTGCCCTGCAGGTACAATGCCCAGGAGTACTACGACAGAATTCCTGAGCTCCGGCAGATCATCGAGCAGCTGAGCAGTGGCTTTTTCTCCCCCAAACAGCCGGACTTGTTCAAAGACATTGTCAACATGCTCATGCACCATGATCGGTGAGCTGGCTGGCCAAGCCACCATGCAGCTGGAGCTGCTGGGCTGAGCAGGGCTTTGGTGAGGGTGGGGAGGTTGGGATAGGGTCCATGCAGTTGCCACCAGGCAAACACTCCTGTGGAGTTTTTATTGTTGTCTTTTTCTTTCTCTCTTCTCTTCTTTTCTTTTCTCTTTCTTCCTTCCTTCCAGTTTTCTTTTTGAGTTCTTCCTGCGTAGCTCAGGCTGATCTTGTGTTTTTTAATTTAATTTTTATTTTTTTTTGGCAGAACTGGTGATTGAACTGAGGCCCTTGCACTTGCCAAGGAAGCGCTTATTCCACTAAGCCATCTCCCTGGCCCTCAGGCTGGTCTTGAGTCCACTATGAAGCCCAGGCTGGCCTTGAACTCACAGTGATCCTCCCGCAGCCTCCCAAATGCTAGGTTTAAGGCAAGCCCTACCATGCCCCAGCTTTGTTTATTTTTCAAGTAAGGGTTGGGCTTTGTAGTTCAAGCTGGCCTTAGATTCACTGTGGAGTGCAGGTTGGCCTCAAATTCATGGCAATCCTACTGCCTCAGACTCTGGAGTGCTGGAGTTTACATGCACTGCAACTCTCATCCATCAAGCTTTTTAAAAAATTATTTTGGGGCTGGGGAGATAGCTCAATAGAATAAGCTCTTGCCTGGCAAGCGCAACGGCCTGAGTTCAATCCCCGGTTCCACCAAAAAAAAAAAAAAAAAAAAAATTTTGTCTTTTTGAGAGCCTCAGTATGCAGTTCAGGCTGGCCTTGAGCTTACTTTGTAGTCCAGGCTGATCTCAAACTCAAGGATTCCGGGCTAGGAGCTAGGACTTGAGCTGAGCCTCTGGGACTACAACAATCCTCCTGCCACCATGCATGTGCCACCATGCTCAGCATTACCAACTTCCTTCAGAAACAGCTTCATTCTCCAGGTCCCCAGATGTCCACTGGGACAGAATGGGGTTGACTGTTGACCTTCCAAGCTTCTCACCCTTTCTTTGCTCTCTAGGTTCAAAGTTTTTGCAGATTATGAGGAATACATTAAATGCCAGGAAAGAGTCAGTGCTTTGTACAAGGTGAGGGGTCCTGGGTCAGGGGTTGGTAGGACTTGGGCAGTCCTGGTTAGCATGAGGCAGAAATTGGGGGGTCCTGCTGGCAGTGAACCCAGAGCTCCCATTTGGCTACAGAACCCAAGGGAGTGGACGCGGATGGTGATCCGGAACATAGCAACCTCGGGCAAGTTCTCCAGTGACCGCACCATTGCCCAGTACGCCCGGGAGATCTGGGGTGTAGAGCCTTCCAGACAACGGCTGCCAGCCCCTGATGAGAAGATTTGAGCATCTAGACCAGACCCCAGTCTGCCTCTGAGTTTGCCCAGCTCCTCATCCAGAGCGTGGACAACTGGCATTAAGTCTCCAAGCTCCTTCCTGAAACCTTCATTTTCCCTGCCTCTAGGTAACTGTGTTCAGCGTGACCAAGTACATTGCCCTCTTCTTGGTCTTCGGCTCCCTATCCCTCTTACTTATGGGGTCTGACCAATTGCACCCATTCCCCAATAAACTGATTTTCCTTGGGAGCCTCCTTATTCTTTGTTGGGAAATATTTTTAGCTCAAGGCGGGCACACCAGCTGCTGCGCAAGCATCCTTTATTTCCCCCCCAAACCCAGCAGGTGCGTTCTGGGAAAGGCATTACACGTGGGCGGGGCCTATGGCTCAGCCCCTTTTCTGGGCGTCACCCTCCACTCGACTTGCCCCAGTGCTGTGTCCATACTAGGTCAGTGGCCAGCCTGGCTGGCCAGGGGCGGGGCGTCTTCTGGGGTGGGACTCCCGGGGGCTAGGAACCGGGACTTGGATTGAGCCGATCTCGGAGGCGGGACCTATTGATGCTTGGCCCCTTTTGGGCTCCGCCCTTAGCTCCGCCCCACTGCGGCGTTTTAGGGTTTCTTAGCAGGTGGCTCTGCTAGGTCCAAGTCGGGAGTGTTAGGGCAGGGGACATTCACAGACCATTCAGGCTAAGCCACTGTCACCCCTCCCTCATTACAGAGGCTCTCTTTCTGGATCTCACAGTACCCAGATTAAAGAGTAGGGCGGGTTTTTGACCTGCCTTCCTGGTACGAGGTAGGGAGGGGCAAGCCTCAGAGAGAGGTTTGGGGCCGGTGGTTTCACAGTGAGTGTATTTGAACCCAAACGGCCGGAAACTGTTACCACTCCCCCAGGTTAGGCTTGTGGGGACCCCAACTGCCTGTGGCTGCCACTCCCAAGTTCCTCCTTGTCGGGGCACAGGCCTCCAGGCGCCCAGTTGTGCAGAACCCACCAGTCGCTGGCAGCCGCCCCCTCCTCCCTGAGTGCCTCGGGGGCGAACTGGGGCACCTCGCCCCACCCCCAAACATCCAAACATCGAGGCCAAGACTCCAGGTAGAACACGGCCCCTCTCCCGAAACATTCCTATCTCCTCCTAGCCCCGCCCCCAGACTTTCACCTGGAACCGCTGCCCCCTCGCCCCGATCTCCACCACGCAGGTGCCCGCGCCACCCGCAGGAAGACGCCCTGCCTCGGGCCGGGTTCGCCCCGTGGGAACGGTTTGTCTTGAAAACAGGAACCCGGGCTGGGGGCTGGGCGGGGCGCCCCTTCCCCACCGCAGTCCGCTTCCTGCCCCTCCCGGCTTCCTTCATCCAACACCCAGGCGGGGCGGCGGACACAGGCCGTCGGGGTGGGGGAAGGGGCTTTGAGATTAGTTTCCCGCACCCAGTCACCGCGCTCGCCCAGCCTCGGCGGTCGGTGGCGCAGCCCCCTTCCAGCGGCCTTGGCCTCTCCAGCAGCGCAGCAAAGGAGGGGCTAAGCTGCCGCAGGGGCCGCTGCCTGCTGGGCGAGGGGGAGCCCGGGTGGAAGAGGCACCGCCGGCGGTGCGCAGCCCCGAG